CCGCATTATAAAGTTTTGCTTACGATAACTATCATATGTTTCTACACCAATCGACCATAACATTTTCAAGTCTTCAATTAAAGGTCGAAGGAAAACATCAATATTTTTGCCTGGGCTTTTTGGACCAGCAATGACCAATGTAAGAAAAGTAAACTCTGGTCGAATGCACATCTCTAGTGGTAAATTATAAACAATTAAAAAAACTGGCCAACAAGAGTAGGCGGTTGAAGAATGAGCCCATGGGTTGAAACCATCAGTAGCAAGACCTAATCGAACATTACGAGGTTCTGTTTTAAAAGAAGGATGCATTTGATCAAAATGTCTCCATGCTTCTGATTGTGCTGGATGAATGACCTCATCCATATCACCACAACATTTCAAATGCCATGACATGTGCTCAGCTATTTTTCGAGACATGTATAGCCTCTGAAGGCGAGGTATTATTGGCAAGTACTAAAGAGAATTCCTCGGAATGTCCTTTTGTCTATTCCTCCCTGGATTTCTCTGTTTATACCTCGCTTCTCCACAGATTGGACATGTAGTCAATGTTTTCGTATGCTCCCCATAGTATAAAGCAGTTATTAACACAAGCATCAATTTTTAGATAACTTAACCCAAGCCCCTTCATATATTTTTTTACTTCATAAAAGTTTGAAGGAACTTTTTCTTGATCTTCAGCACTTAACAACCTTCTACATCCTTTGAGAAGGGCATTAAAACCATTAGCAATTATATTATTTGCAATCTTTGTATACAACATATAAGAAAGCCAGGTAAGCACTGTCTCATTTCTTTTAGCACTACCAAGGGGAATTGTAGATGCATGAAGCAAGTCATAAAATGCCTTTGCTTGATTGTTTGGTTCCTCGTCTAGATGTTGATTGGGGAAATTACCTTCCATTTCCCGATTATCATCATCCTCTGGATAAAATGCATCATACACCATTTTACGAAAGTCATTCCTTTCATCATGGTGTGTATCTTGACTATGTGATGATTCTCCTAGATTAGTAGCAGACCATGGATCTACTGAATCCACAAATGTCTCACCATGTGCCCACCAAACAGAATAAGCATTCATAAAACCATACTTAGTAAGATGGCCCCATACTATTTCCCGAGTCATCAACGGTAAATTAAAACATTTAGTACAAGGACATCTGATTAAATCATTCAGTTGAAGACCAAGGCTATTGTATGCAAATTGAAGGAAATATTCAACTCCACTATAGAACTCATTATATATCTCTCCT